GACCTTCAGATCCTCAACTTACACATCCGTCCAACTGTTGCAATGGAAAAAATGGAAATGCCTTCCCTCAATCAGATGAACCCTTGTTTCAAGAGCCCACCCCTTCTCTCCCCCTTCTGCCTCCCTGTCCACTTGGCAGGCTCTCCCAGGATGAGGAACACATGAGGAAAAAAATGTACTTTGATTCTGTTCAAAGAAACTATTGCCTACTTGGAGACACATAACACATGATGGCCTTGAGTGTGACTTGTGCTTTAGTCGTCAATGTTGTTATCCCTGGATTCCAGGGCAGCTCCTTTCCTTGCAGAACTGCTGCCATCTTGGTAGGCCATCCTCCTTGTCTTAAGGGCTCAGATGGTCTGCAAATGACTGACACACAGCAGACACTCTGGAAATCATTTTGAAATGTTGAATGGAGCTTGCATCATACAAGTACATAAAAATACAAACATGAAAATCCAATAAAATGGAAAGTCATTCACTGGATTATAAAGAACTCTGCTTTTCAGTAAATAATTTTATATTGCTTTTTATTTTTTCTTATTTTGAGTCAGAGTCTCATTCTGTCACCCAGGCTGGAGTGCAGTGGTGTGATCATGGCACATGGCACAAGTGAACCTCCTGGGCTCAGGCCATCCTTCCACCTCAACCTCCCAAGTAGCTGGGACTATAGGCATGTGCCACCATGCCCAACTAATTTTTTAAACTTTTTTTCTTGTAGAGACAAGGTCTCACTATGTTGTCCAGGCTGGTCTTGAACTCCTGGGCTCAAGCAATCCTCTCACCTCAGTCTCCCAAAGTGCTGGGATTACAGGTGTGAGCAACTGTGCTCACAAATTATATTATTTTAAATAACCATCTTTACAAGCACATGCACAAGGGAGTCGCTGTACACAAAAGTGTATTGTTGAGAGTTTCATCTATGGTGAGCTTACCACACAGCTTTGGCCTATCATGGGGGGCTGTCCTCCTGTGGGCAAGAACCAGTTTCCCAACCATGCTGCCCATCGAAGTTGGACTGGATTAAAAAATGTGGTGCATATACACAATGGAATATTATGCAACCATAAAGAGGGACAAACATATGGACTTTGTAGCAACTTGGATTTAGAGTCTATCATACTCAGTGATCTGTCACAGAAACAATGAACAGTACCATATGTTCTCACTCATGAGTGGACCTTGAACAATTATCATGGTGCTGTGAGAGGGGGATTGGTGGTGGTGGGAAACTGCCAGGGGAGGGGCGTGGGATTGGCAGTTGAGGGAGACTGCTGGGGGAAGGAGGGGCGCACCTCATCAATAAGGGTAACTGCATGGTGAACACTTGTATACCTAACCCTTAATTGTACCCCACATGTTTAAAATAAAAAACAATAATAAAATTTTTAAAGAAGAACCAAGTTTTTTATTCTTGGCTTCATGGTTGGATTTCACAGGTTCCAACGTGGTGGCAGAGTGACCCAGGCTGCACTTAGTTGCAGGATCTCTGTGGACTGAGGAATGACTCTCCCAACACGGCTCTTCCTTCCCCAAGTTCCAGGTCATAGTCCAAGCAGGCATCTGGGAAAAGGGCTGGGCAGAACTGGTTCAGGTTAAAAGTGCCCAAGAGGCTGAGGGGATTAGGAAGCAGATGTTGTTCTGAAGAAGGATCCTGATTCAGACTTTGTATTAGTCAGCTTCCACAGCAAATACCAAGGAGTGGGTAGCTTAAAGGACAGACATTTATTTCTCACCGTTCTAAAGGCTAGAAGCCCTGGATCAAGCCCCATCAGGTTCAGTTCCTGGGAGGCCTCTCTTCCTGGCTTGCAGAAAGCCACTGCCTCTTTGTATCTTTGCATGGTCATTCTTCTGTGAGTGGGTGGAGAGAGTGAGTGAGCTTTGGTGTCTCTGTCTCTTCTAAGAACACCAGTCCTATTGATTAGGACCCCACCCTGATGACCTCATTTAACCTTACATCCTAAAAGCCCTGTCTCCCAATACAGTCACCTTGGGGACTGGGGCTTCAACATACGAATGTTCGAAGGTGAGGGCACAAATCAGTCCAAGCAGTCTCTAAAAAGAATCACATTTCACACCGGTAGTATCTTTGTCTTCCAGGGGTTGTCTGAAACAAAGGTTCTCAACTGTGGTCATACATTATAATCAGCTGGGAAGGTTTTTTCGTTTTTGTTTTTAATGCTAAGGCTAGTATTTTTAGTATGCTCAGAGATATTAATCCAATTGAAAGTGGAGGCCTAAAAAAGTATGTTTTAAAAGCTCCCCCAGTGATTCTAACATACATCCGTTGCGTAGCTGTCATCCAACACCTGACTGTGCTCCTTGGGGCTCAGCCAGAACAAGGCAGGTTTTTGTGAAGAGAAATTTGGGAATAATGACAGTATGTATGGTGTTTAGGGAACACAGTGCATTGTGTATAGATTGTGTGGATATGATAGCTTCACATGTGTACAAAATGTGCATTTATGTGTAAACAGTGTGTACAGCAAATGTGAATGCATACAAAATCAAAAATAGCATTAGCTTTGAGCTTATCTCTTCATGAGGTAACTCTCTAGATTTGAATGCTACGTTCTCTTTTCCATTGGTTACTATTTTATTTATTTTTTTATTTTATTTTATTTTTTTTTGAGTTGGAGTCTCACTCTGTTGCCTAGACTGGAGTGCAGTGGCCGCTACCGGCCACCGCAGCCTCGACCTGCTGGGCTCCGGGGATCCTTCCGCCTCAGCCTTCCAAGTAGCTGGAATTACAGGCATGCGCTACCACGTCCGGCTGATTTTTTGATTTATTGTAGAGATGAGCTCGCTGCCCAGGCGGGTCTCGAACCCGTGGGCTCAGGCAATCCACTCACCTCAGCCTCCCAAATGCGCGGGATTACAGGCTAAACCACTGAGCCCGGCGGTTACTATTTTATAACCTGTTTTAAATATTAATATTGTAGACATCATATGAGTCCATTCACATGAGATACCTAGAATGGTAGAATTTATAGAGACAGAAAGTTAGAATCATTTATATGATTCCTCCCAGGGGCTGGGAAGACGAGGAATTGGAACGTTATTGTTTAATGCGCACGAGCAATATGAATACTAAACAATGATTTTTGATGAAAAAGTTCTGTGTGATCAGCCTGTCATCAAGTGACGCCTGCTGGTCCAGAGAGGATAACGTGGTGTGGAAGTGGAAGCAGGAGAAGGCCCTTGCGTCTGCCTCAGCAGGCCTGCCTCAGGACTCCTTCAGTCTTTTAGCAATGATTAGATTTCCTGAAAATAAGCGGCACAAGCAATACTGAAATTTTAAGTGACCTAAATGTCACAGTCACTCCTTGGTTAAAAACACACATGTAAAATACCTACAGAGCTGTGGAGAAAGTTGTACTATTCCTCGGCTTAATGTATAGTTTGTAAAGTAGACTTGCTTTTGCAGCTCTTGAATTTTTGTTTTGTTTGGTCTTCTAACATGAGGTGAGATAGGAGAGAATCTTACCCATTATGAGGCTTCCAATGAGCCCAAAGACTTCAGAAAGACAAGTAAAATAGTTTGAAGCACAAGATTATACAAGAAACCAGTACCAAGGTCTTGAAAAACAGAGTTGGAATATTTTGTTTTACTTTTGTGCTTTGGCTCATACTTGTAATCCCAGCACTTTGGGAGGTTGAGGCGGGAAGATCGCTTGAGCTGAGTGTAAGACCAGACTGAGCAATATAGCAAGATTCTCATCTCTACAAAAAATTTAAAAATTAGCCAGGCACAGTGGCACATGCCTGTAGTCCCAGCTACATGGGAGACTGAGGCAGGAAGATCGCTTGACCACATGAGTTTAAGGTTGCAGTGAATCACGATTATGCCACTACACTCCAGCCTGGTAACAAAGTGAGACCCTTTCTCAAAAAGAAAAAAAGAAAAAAAAAAATATATATATATATATACACATATATATGACAATTACAAAGGAGATTATTTATGAAAAACACAACCCCATGGCTTGCTTCAGCAGCCATTGTACAAGCATTCTTTTACCATTGAGTTCTTCACAGTTAACATTTCTGAGAGGCTGTGTAATGTTGAATGTTCCCAAAGCTCAAATCAGGAATCAGACAACTGTTCCAGGCTTAGAAAAGCTTTCGAAACTCCAAAGTTCTTTTATTTAAAAAGTAAAAATTCTTGATGTCCCTTAAAAATTTCTGATGTATCTACTGAAAACATCTCAATCCACAATCGTGTGAGCTGTAAATTTGTATCTTCTAAACCCCTCCTCTTGGGCTAATTCTACATGGGAGGCAACTTTGATACACAATAGGTAGCCATGTTAACAAATTAAAAGAATCAGGAAGCACAGCCAAAGAGATCAGCAAAACAAAAACAACCACAACCAATGTTTATTCCTGATTGTTGTCACTACTATTTTCATACTTTATTTCCTTCCACACTTTAAATATATAATAACCAAAACTTTATTAATATACAAATAAAACATGCGCAGCATGTAAGCATGGTAGGTAGTGAGTAAAACCGGTCATCTGGTTGATTCCTGCACCAAGGCTTATGCAGCAGGCCTCTGCGGAAACAGTGGCTGTGTTTGAACACCTTCTGTGGGCCTATGCCTTTTCCAAGTTTCTCAAGCAAAGAGCAGCATCCACCATATTGGTTAAAGAGGCTTAATGAAACAGAAGTGCTTCTGTTCAAGGGACAAGGCTATTCTACTTTTTCCTGAGACCTCACTTTGTTCTTTTCTCTGACAAACGTTCTAAAATTCAGTGAAATACCAAAGGAGACATGGATGAAATCAGAAAAAGCAAAAATGAAATCCAGGAAGTTCTGTGGTGGACAACTAATATATCTCTTTGATGAAGAAAAAATGTACAGGATATTTCATCAGTTCGTTTTCCCCCAAAGGGGAAAAACACACATATTTTTGGTTTTAGATAAGTCGCTAAGCCTTTTGCAGAAGGGAAAAATGTCATGGGAAAATGAAAACTATCTCTAATGTCTATAGCACATGAAATATCTTAGTAAAATATTAAAGGGCAAGAGGGAATATCTGTAAAAAATGATTGTGCACATGTTGGTTGAAAAGTACTATTATGGGATTAGACGGTTGTGTTATTGAAATGGTGCTTGGTATATAAACTCAAACATTCCTTTTCAAATTCAGCTTCTCAGAGGTTTGGTTTCAGATCCCTGAGCATTTTCAACATTATCTTTGCCTTTATCCTTCTTCATGCGGATAAACACAACTGCTAAAATTATACCTAAAAGAGAAAACCCAGAGTCAAACAGATGGAATCTTAAAATGTACTGTCACACTGATTTATAAAGTAGTATCCTGATAGGAAAAAATGACTCATATAACTTCATTTTTTGTTTGTGGTTCAACAAAGTTTCGTTGTCCCAGTGAATAAGGGACTCTAAGCATTAGCTTTCCTGGATAAGTAAGCTTATTGCTTTTCCTGAGTCAGTAAGTATGTATCAAGTCCCAAATCATCCCTGACCTGGCGGCTCTCACTGGGTTTCTATCTAGGAATATAAAATCCTACACTACTGCATGTATAAGCATCGGACAGGGTTCCTAAACTTTATACATACTCAATAAATCTTAATTCCAGTCTTTCTTCGCCTTCCCTAGAGGGAACGATCCAATCAGAACAATCAGAAAACTATTCTCTGACTTGCTCACCTCCCTAAAGCTGACTTTCATTGTATCCACACCAAATACATTTTCTTTGGCACCTTCCTTGTGGCTCCAGACTTTGTTGTTGAGGGATCTTGAGTAGACTACTTAATTTTTATGGATTCTCCCATCTCTGAACTCCTACAAAATTGCATTGTACATCTCAGTCCTAAATGTGTACTGTCAATCAGAGCCCACTATGAAAAAGGGAATTGTTTTTACAAAATTAATGTGCCAGTAAGTTTACAGGAAGAATCATGGCAGAAAATACTAGATGCTCAGAAATCCATTAAGAACCCTATAATAATCCTAATCCTATTTTGAAAAGAGTAAAGGTATAAAACTGTCAAATCCTATTACTTCAATTTTTTTATATTTCCAAACTCATCCAATCTTTAACTTGTGGTGACATTAAACCAGTATATAAGAAAATTTCTATTTGGTGTATAAGCTCAAAAATCCTTTCAAGGTGAGAGGGGAAAAATAGAATAAGAAAAGACATAGAAGTGGAGATTGGTAAGTGAGTGGGACCACAAAAAGGCAGCTCAATTAGTATGATAGGTGTGCAGCAGATAGTGGTTCTCAGGGAGAAATAATGGTCATTATGCACATGTTGGGATGACAAGCAGCCATGTTAGGAAGGCCCTCCCTTGTCATGGACTATAGAGTCACAAAAAATGAGATCCCTTTGAGACTTGTGAACCAGAGTCCAGTGTGAAAGGTTGGTCAAAGGAGAAAAGATCAAATACAGAGAGAATGATCATGAATACTTAACATAACACCAATTCTTCTTTTAAAAGGAAAAAGATGTGAAAATGTGTAAACTCCACTCAGGTACACATGAACTAACAAAGTATCTCTGATATTTAACTTGTGGAAGGGAAAACAGCTGAAATAAGGTAATTACTCTAGGGTTGAGCATTCCTAATCTGAAAATCTGAAATCTAAAATGCTCCAAAATCCAAAATTTTTTGAGCACCAACATGATGCCTAAGTGGAAAATTCCACACCTGACCTCATGTGACAAGACACAGTCAAAACTTTTGTTTCATGAACTAAATTATTTAAAACATGGTATAAAATTACTTTCAGGCTATGTATATAAAGTGTTTATAAAATGTAAGTGAAATTCATGTTTAGACTTGGGTCCCATCCCCAAGATGTCTCAAGATGTATATGCAAACATTTCAAAATCTGGAAAAGCCTTAAACCTCAAATAATTCTGTTCTTGAGCATTTTGGATAAGAGATACTCAACCTGTAACCTGTGGTAGGCACTGAATTGTTTACAGAGAGGGAGAGACAGAGAGAGAGAACCAGATCAGAGGACTCTGCCATCTAAGCTGGGGCCAAGACAGAATCAGGACTGTGATGCAATGGGGTTATTCTGGGTAATAAATAGTCAGGGTCCACAGTCATGAAAACATGCAAAGGAAAGTTCTCCAACATTTTAGGTGTATCAGTGTCTCCACTGAAAGGCTAACTTCTGCCTATACAACAATGGCAGGTGAGATCACAAACTCTGGCATAATATCTATATATGTCTTGCCTGTCACTGACTATATCCCCCTTATCAAGCACAGTGCCTGACACGCATCAGAGGCACAGCTATTGCATTTTTTTCTCCTTCATCATGAAAACTTGGTAACTAGGCATAAACAATAACAATTTATGGTCTAAAGACTGTTATATTTCCCAAACTAACCAATAGAGCACTGATAGGTAGGGGGTGTTTCTAAAGCACTATCTTCCAACCAGGAAAGTCTGATGTAGTTTACTAGTAATCTGTATCCTTGGCTATGGCCTGGGTTGTCATTTGAGCAGCCACCAGCCCAGCCTATGAAAACAGGACCTGAGTGGACTCATATTTCTGAAGCTCAGGAAAGAATTTCTTGAATTGAAAAATTATACTCACCAATGACCAGAAAGGTGGTCAGCAGTATACCAACAGCCATGCCCACAGTGGGCATCCCATCCTGGTGACCTACTGGCTTGAAACAATGTCCTTCCACACATGTGCAGAAAGTAACTGAAATAGAGAACAGTATTTGGTAGGGTGTTTTCAAGTGAATAGTTGCAGAATCCCATATCAAGGTCAAGAATTCCCTGAAACTGCTCAGGGTGACAGAGGCTATCCTAATTTACCTGTAGCAAATGCATACCTGGTAAAGAGACAATGCCTTCCAAAGGTGGCCGGCCCCCATCACTGATGCGAATGGAGATTTCATAAACTTTCTCCTCAAAGTTTGTGTGCTTGGTGGAGAGTTTGGCATGAGTGCCTGTCAGAACAGGAACAAAATGAATAAAATGGAAACAACTTCAGACTCCTAGATCAGCAGGAATAAAGCTCATCTTTGTAAATATAGTCGATTCACATCCAGTCATTTCTAGTAGTTATGTTCAATAAAGTTGCCCCAAACACTGAATTAGTAAATACTGAATCATTACTCCTAGAGGAAATACAGGGTTAGGTTCCTGTGAGCTTCTGGTCAAATATTTCCATCAACGTCAATACATATTCTTGTTTTCTGTGTGTTTCTGTTTAGAGATACCTTATTTGATATATATTGTTGACTCACTATCATTTAAGTTGCAGTTAACAGCATTAGAACGTCTGTCTGAACAAAGCTTATCTATTTTTCTGTCTTTTGTACTTATGAACACAAGTACTATGCAATAAAATCACTGCTGAAAAGCACAACAATGTGAAAAACAGGGAACTAAGTGGACTGCAAGAGAACACTTATTAACAATATGACAGCTAAAACTAGAAGGCAAAATGTCACCTTGTTCAGTCTCAGTTGGGAACATGTGTGTCCAGTTACTCATTTTTCACCACTCTTTCAGACTCCATGAATGCAAAAGCTCTATTAAGTATTGATTTTGGGGTTACAAACTTCATCAAGTAGATGAATTTATAAATACAGGGTCTGTAAATAATGAAGATCAACTATATATGTGGCATGGTGGTTGGAGAGTGCCTGGGAAAGAACATCTTCAAACCTGATCCTGGGTTTCAGATCTGCTTCTTGTCAGCTATGTGACACTGAGTAAGTCCTAACTCTGATGGTCTCAGAATACCTTTGGGTTCTAAAACACGGGGAAGCATGATATTCTACACAGTCTTCAGAGCGAATGTCCAGGTCCTGGTGCAGGAAGGGAGAGGCCAGTGATGTCATGAGCAAGAGTAAGGGGAAGTCAAGGCAACTAGAATTTGCAAAGCAGAGTAACAGAGGGAGTCATCAAGGGAGATCTGCAGAGGACCTTTCAAGGTTCAGGTGAGTACTAGTCAAAGTATGTAGATGAGGGAACTACTTAAACTGGGGAAAGAACCACCTAAAAGGATTAGAGAGAACAGAGCTCACAAAGGGCCAGGAATAGTTCTCTTCCCAAAGCTAGAGCAGAAAACCTCATAAATTCATGGGCCATCAGATGGAGTACACAGGAGGGTTTTGCCTTAGAAGTTTGGAAAACTTAGCCCTAGAATAAATGCTGCCCTGGTTCTGTGTAACAAAACTTTAAAATGATATGTGAAAGCATCAAACAATTTCCAAGCACTTTAACTATATTTCAAAATAAAGCTCCAGAATATTTGTGAGAATACAAAAATATTCAGCATCTAAAATGTCTAGAATTTCATTTTTAAAATTGCCAAACATGCCAGAAAAAAAAAAGTTATGACACATAAGAAAAAGAAGCAATTGAAACCTACCCCAAAATGAAACATATTACACAGTGGGCAAGGACACGAAAAGAAGAGATATCATGGAGGAAAAAAAATTAATGAAATAATGACTAATACTTTTTCCAAGTTTGATAGAAACTCTAAATCCTCAGATCCAAGATCAACAAACCTTAGAAACAACAATAGCAACAAAGAATAAAATGACAAAAGCATCAAATTACTTAAAACTAGTGATAGAATATTTTTATAGCACCCAGAGAAAAAATATACATACATTTAATGAAACAAAGAAGAAGCAGTGCAAACCAGATCACAGTGGAAAAATATTCTTGAAGTATTGGAGAAAAAGTCTCAATACGTTTAAAAGTATTTCAACCGCCGGGCTCAGTGGCTCAGCCTGTAATCCTGCGCCTTTGGGAGGCTGAGGTGAGAGGATTGCCTAAGCCTGCAGGTTCGAGATCCACCTGGGCAACTTGGCAAGACCTCATCTCTCCAATAAATCAAAAATTAGCCGGGCGTGGTAGCGCGCGCCTGTAGTTCCAGCTACTTGGAAGGATCACCGGAGCCCAGCAGGTCGAGGCTGCGGTGGCCGGGAGTGGCCAATGCACTCCAGTCTGGGCGACAGAGTGAGACTCCAACTCAAAAAAAAAAAAAAGTATTTCAGCCATATGTTCTCTGGACATGACAGAATCAAATTAGAAACCAGAAAGATGTAGAAAATAGTCCATGAAATATCTTGAAACTAAATAGCACACTTCTAAGTAAGCCTTGGGTCATAAAAGAAATGTAAAAGGAAAACACAATGCATCAGACTTTGTGGAAGGCAGCTAATATAACACCAAGAGATACATTTATAACACCAAATGCCTGTTAACAAAAAATGATCTCAAATTAATTGTCTCAGCTTTCACCTTAATAAAAATAGAACAAGAACAAAAAATAAATACAATGAAAGAAGAATAAAGTAATAAAGATCTGACCAATGAAATACAAAACAGAAAATCAATGAAACCAAAAGCTGGTTATTTGAGAATAGCAATAAAAATTAATAAACCAACCAGGAAAAATTACAATTTGCCAATGTCAGAAAGAAGTGAAATTACTCTGCAGATATTAAGAGAATAATATGATGAAAAACTACGTCAATAAGCTAGAAAAATCAAATTAAATAGACATATTATTTGAAAGTTATAAACTAACAAGCTTAACCAAAAAGAAATAGTCCTATATCTATTAAATAAATTGAATTTATTTCCCACAAAAAAAATCCAGGCCCAGATGACTTCATTGGTAAATTCACCCAAACCTTAAGGAAGAAATAATACCAATTTTACACAGACTTGTAGAATGCTTCCTAACTCATCCTATGAAGCAAGCATTACTGAAACCAAAACCAGATGAAGACATTACACAAAAAACAAAAAGCAGACCAATATCCCTCGTGAATATAGATGCAAACATTCCTCAAATTTAGCAAGTCGAGTCCAACAATATATAAACATAGTGATATTTTATTACCAAGTAGGTCTTATCCCAGGAATAGAAGGCTGATTTAAGATTCAAAAGTGGGCCAATATAATTCACAAGTTAATAGACCAAAAACAATCCAATCATTTCCATACATCAACCATACAATCATCTCAATAGATGCAGAAAAACACTTGAAATTTTTAACATCCATTCCCTATTTAGAAAAAAAAAAAACTCTCAGGAAATTAGTAAAGTCTTGAATCTAATAAAGATCATCTACAAAAAAAAAAAACAACTACAGCTAACATCATACTTAATTATGAAAGACTGAATGCTTTCTCTCTAAGATCTACACAAGTCAAGTATTTTTGTTCTCTGTTTAACATTATACTGAAAGTTTCTGCCAGTAATAAGGCAAGATAAAGAAACAAAGCCATAAGGACTGGAAAGGAAGACAGAAAACTGTTATTATTCACAGACAACATGACTATGTAGAAAATCTATGAAGTTTAAAAAGAAAAATGATCATAGATGTAGAAAAAAACTTTTGATAAAATCCAGCATCCCTTCTTGATAAAAACCCTCGAATTCCTAGGCATAGAAGGAACATACCTCAAAACAGTAAGTGCCATTTATGATAAGCCCATAGCCAGCATATTACTAAATGGATAGAAACTGAAAACATTTCCCCTGAAAACCAGAACAAGACAAGGCTGCCCACTCTTACCCATCCTGTTCAACATTATGTTGGAAGTTCTAGCTAGAGCAATTAGAAAAGAAAAGGAGTATCCAAATAAGAAAAGAGGAAGTTAAGTTATCTCTTTGCTGATGATATAATCCTATACATTGAAAATCCAAGAGAATCTGTCAAAAATATTCTTGCACTGAAAAAGGACTTTGGCAAAGTCTCGGGGTACAAAATAAATGTGCAAAAGACAGTCACATTCTTATATACCAACAACAAACAGGCAAAGAACCAAATAAAAAGCCCAATCCCATTCACAATAACCTCAAAAAAAAACAAAAGAAAGAAAAAGAAATACCTCGACATCTTCCTAACTAGAAGAGTGAAAGACCTTTACAATGAAAACTACAAAACACTGCTCAAAGAAAGCCAAGAAGACACAAACAAATAGAAAAATATTCCATGCTCATGGATAGGAAGAATCAACATTGTTAAGATGTCCATCCTACCAAAGGCAATCTACAAATTCAATGTAATACCCATTAAATTAACAGCATCATTCTTCTCAGACCTGGAAAGGACAATACAGAAATTCATATGGACACACAAATGACCACGAATAGCCAAAACAATCCTTAGCAAAAGAAACAAAGTGGGTGGTATCACACTTCCAGACTTTCAACTTTATTATAAGGCTACAATAATCAAAACAGCCTGGTATTAGTACAAGGACAGGCATGTAGACCAATGGAATCAGATAGAGATTCCAGAAGCAAAACTTCAATTTCTCAACCAACTCATCTCAACAAAGCCTCCACCACTAACCACTAGGGAGAAGAAAACCTTTTCAGTAAGTGGTGCTGGGAAAACTGACCACATGCAGAAGAGTGAAACAGGATCCCTACCCATCACCATACACAAAAATCAAAGACCTAAACATAAAACCTCAAACTATAAAATTCTTAGAAAAGGAGACACCCTTACAGAAATCAGAGCAACCAATTCCTGATCAAAACCCCAGATATCCATGCCCTAAGAAATAAGATAGACAAGTGGAACCTCATTAAACTGAAAAGCTTCTGCAAAGCAAAAGAAACCATCAAGAGAGTGGGGAGACAGCCCACAGAATGGGAAAAAATATTTGCCAACTGTATTGCTGACAAAGGCCTAACACCCAGGATCTACAAGGAACTCAAATGTGCCAAAGGAAAAAAACCAAACAGCCCCAATAAAAAGTAGACAAAAGACACGAATAGACACTTCTCAAAAAAAGATATACAGGCAGCCAACAGACACATGAAAAAGTGTTCAACCTCATTAATCATCAGAGAAAAGCAGATCAAAACCACATTGAGACACTACCTAACCCCAGTAAGAATGGTCATAATTAATAAAACAAACAACAATAGATTCTGGCAAAGATGCAGAGAAAAGGGAAC